CACTACAAGGACACAACCAGGAGGGTAATTGCTCAACCCTGATTTAGAAATATGCGTCATACTGATAGAAAAGCCGTCGTCTCAAATTTACACGAGAAAAGATGTGAACACCATGCTGAAAAATGTGCTGGTTAGAGGTGCAATAAAACTGCAGCCAAGCTCTTACGGGCAACACGTAGATAAGCAAAACAGCCTTGTGATGAAGGCTCAGGCAGAGAGGAGATCAGAAAGTACCGAGCAGAGGCGAGCGTGTGGGAACTTGTCAGTAAAGACTGAGGTTGTAGTGCGCTGCCTTGAGAAAGTGGCAGAGGCATGTTGAAAGCCTCTGGGCTATAGAAACACAGAGCAGCGATAAGAACTAGAACAGACTACAGTTCTCTTCTGCTGTCACTGTGACACACACTGCTCTTTATTAGCCTGGGACTGAGAAGCGTCCCACTGAAGGCATGCCAACATGCTACAGTGACAAAAGACAGAAGGGAAATAAGGAAGAGACCAAGTTTAATTGGTATGTTGCAAAGGCCTCCTCAGGGCCAAAAAGTGTGAGCAAGGACACACCTGCTCTTTCAGGCGTGCTAATGGCTGTACAATCAGAAAGCGAAAGAATGAGTGAGCGTAGGCGTCTGTGAGGTAAACTCAGAGCATGAAGTCACTCTGAAACAGGTAACTGACTCTAAAGGTGTGTGAGTGCATCATTCTCGGAAATCAACAGTTTTACAGAGAATTTCTGACTCAAAGTCTGACTGCGGCCCAGGCAGGGCATTGGTCTCATATGCAATCTGCTGGTTGTTACTGCAAAGGTGAAGTCTTGTTTCTGGCATAACAAAATGAAATATTAATTTAAACAGAAAAAACATCTGCATACTAAGTAAGTAAGTAAGACATATGTTTTGGTACAGGAAGCGTTTTGCTCCCTTTATTTTTGAGCAGAGTCTGGCTGTATGCAGGTAAACAGGGGTTTTCCTGGATCACAATAAGCTTCTGTATAAGCATGATTAGCCCGTCTACCTTTAAGCAAAAAGGTCAAAGTTACCTGAAGTGAGAAAATAAATAATTTATTTTTAGTTTGAGTAAAGTAGACCTCAGATAGTTTAAAGAAAAATCTCATCCTGGTAATTTTCCTTTGGTGGAAC